CCCAAAACCCCAAAACCCCAAAACCCCAAAACCCCAAAACCCCAAAACCCCAAAACCCCAATTATCTGAAATAATGCTGATAGTATATAAATTATAAATTTTTCAAAAACAATGAAGAATATCAATGAGTATCTCCTGATGATTATCGGAAATTTTCTTGAAATACGGGATATACTTAGACTTTCAGCTACATGAAAGAAAAATAATAATGTTTTTAAGGACTATTATGAACTATACAAGAGAGAATGAAAGAGGCTCTATACTAATCGATGTAACTGATTTAAAAATCAACTAATGTCGAATAAGTTATCCTCCACAAATGTTAATAAAGCTAATGATCCAGGATTTTTGTGCAAGGACAAGGCCACTAAAATCTGGAAGGACCTTACACTTGAAGGCCTGACACTTGAGTATTCTTGGAACAAAGGAAACTACTTATGCACCCATTTCGATACTGAGGTAATAAAATATTTAGGCGATGCTTTAATTGGTATTTTAAGAACTCCAGATTTAACTGTGCCTGCTCTGATAAAACATGACGCTAATGTTGACCTTCACTCTGTATACTCTCAATATCTCTATGAGTATCTTTTTAGGATGAATGATGTTTATGGAGGGAAGAAACCAGCTGCCACATTTACTTTTTTGTCAGAAAGAGAAGACTTCATTCAGAAATCATTATTAAATCTAGGCGGATTATCGAAAAGGGATTACTACGATTCCCTTGCTTATGAGATCCAAGCTCAGGAGGAAGGCCAAATATTCTTTAATCTAAGGTGGTATTGATCTAGCCCAAAGTTTAGTGCTTATTCTGACAATTCATCTTATGCTTCCACTCAATTCACAACCCAGCTTTCTGAAGTTCAAGGAGTGAAGGAGGTGAAGTCTGAGTTGGTTTCTTTGCTTCTACAGATTCATGACACCATCTCTTTTCATTGTAAACTAACCTATGAAGTAATTGCAGATATCGAGGACGAATTCAGATTTTTGCAAGAATACAACAAAAGATGGAATGCCTTTGTTGCTAGCATGATCAAAATGGATGAAATATTAATCCCTCTGAACATCACAATCAGTATGGTCTACAAGAAAGTATTCCCAGACTTTAGCTTTTACCCTCAGTTCTCATTCCTAAGGTTTTTCTTGTCCATTTGGAGAAGAGAAGTCTACAACATGCTGAAGGATTCTATTGAAGACTACATCGTTGGAATTTTCAGGAAGTTTCACAAGAATTGTTTGGTCTATAGCCAAGAAGAGAAAACGATCAGAAAAGAAAAACTAAATAGAACTTCTCTATCAGATTACTTCAAAAAGAGTCAGAAGAACTCTGACTGAGAGGAAGGGTTCAAGTCCATGATCACTCCAATGCTTTCAGAAATCAACGTCAAAGTTGACGACCTTCAGAATAGTTTCAGAGATGCTGAAATGAGTGACCAGGAAGATGAAATGAATTATATTCTCGATATTGAAATGATGTACGGCAAAGAATACGATTCAAATATCCCTAGCATTGGCAGACAAGAGAAAGAGTGTATCAAACAGATTATTATTGACGTCATGGACATTAGTATGAACGAATTCTCCATGCATTACATTCTTCACTCAGATAATGATTATATGGTTCCATTTCGAGATTTGAAAAAGAGAATTGAGCGTGAGTTATTCAAATTTTACAAAACTTCTTGCGAAAATGTACCGTTTAAGCTTTGGAGTGAAATCATAGAGGAACACTCCATTATTTTATCTGAGATCCTACCAGTATCGATTCTAAAGGAACTGAACAAGCATAAGTTCAGTTTTGTTCAGAAATACATCAAGAACAGAATTAAGGTGCAGTTAGAAAAATACTCAAAAATCTCTAAGAAGCAGAAGGTAGAGGTAGAGGAAGAGGAGAAGTCAAAGGTGATTGTGATGAATGCTCATTCCCAAACACATCAAGGTAGAGTTGTAAACAGGGAGGCTTACTTGGAATCAACAGTTTCTAGTTTCTTAAATACCCCTTTCCATGAATTCTTGGTTTCTCGGCTGAAAAGTAAGAGTAGCAAAATTACTATTCTTTCAATCTTGGCCCATATAAAGGAGCATGAAGTGGAGATTATGAATGTCTACAACGAGAGTTTCCGTGTGAATGCCAAGTTTGAAGCTACGACTAAGTCAAAGAATAATAGGATTTTAAGATACAAAGAACCGAGGGGGTTCCCGTTAAGCCTTCCTACTAGTGAAAGTGCCCTGTATACAATGGACCATGATATTACTTTGCATCTTCTTGAAAAGTTTAGAACGGACAAAGAGCACGAGCTGAAAAAGAAACAGGTGGAAAAAGAAGAAGAACATCACGACTTCGACAACAGTTTCGATCCGGACAGTTGAGATGAAGAAGTACAATTCGATTTTGGGTCTAGCCTGCCTCGTTACTCTAACACTGAAAAGAGAACTTCAAAGTTTGATCCTCTCAGCTCCTTAAAGCTCTTGAAGAGTAACAAAGGAGCTGATATAGACATGGATATGGAGGAGACAAATTCTGACACTAAAACTGAAGCTAAGAATGTTGTTGAGGAAAGCAAAAATAACTTTGGGAACATCTGCTCTCTCTTCAAACCCAATAATAAAAACAAGGAAAGTCAACATATGGGCCCATTTGATAATTGCGAGTCAGAGGGTCTTAGGCTACAAAGAACTAGTAATATTTCCTGAAATGCAGCACTACCCGACAACCAAATGCTAAGATTCTCAGATCTCGAAAATATGGATGACGACTTCGATATGGATGAAATTCCTGAGAATCTTAGCTTTAAGAGGTGATAAACGTCAATATTTCAGGAAAATGCTCACTATTGAACTTTATGTTAAATTCTTAGCATAAAAGATTCTTTAATGGTAAGCATGGCAAGAAATTCTCTTGAAAACACAAGAATAAATTATATTCCTAATAATTATATAATTTAATACTCTTCAATCATATTGTAAGTAATGGGGTTTTGGGGTTTTGGGGTTTTGGGGG